GGACGCGGTCTGTATGGGTGCGAGCGGCTGGGGCTTGCTGGCCGAGGCAAAGGGTTGCCTTGTCTTGGTGAACCAGGGGGCGCATTGATAAGCACGCAAGGGCGCGGCAAGGGGCAGCTGGCTGGTAGCAGGCAGGAGTCCTTGGAGGCGCTCGGCTGCAAAACTGGTCGAGAGAGAGGCTGAGCAGCTTTGGTCTGCGCAACCATGACGTCAGTCACACCGCCAAATTTGCCCCCTTGAATCGGCTCATCCATCATGCGTGCAGAACAAAGAACATGCGAGGATCTTCGGGCCGAATATTCGAGCCAGATAGCCTCTGGAATCGAGTCAACGCACCCCCACGCAAAAGCGACCGAATGCAAACATTCATCGCAAATCGGAAGAAGTTACATGGCTTTATGGTTTCCGGAGATAGAAAGGGATGGAACAACATGGTGAAGATATAACCATAAGATGTAAATAGAAAAGGAAAAGAAAGGGATAATAAAAGATTGAAAAGTTAATGATGGAATATTGGATAACTCTCGTTAATACATTAGGGTCTAGAAATATAAAGATTTCACAGATAAAAGAAGAGCATAATGAAAGAATAATTCTCATAAAGACTGATATTGAATGAAAGAAGAAAACACATAAAGAAAGAGATATCAGTCCTTACAACATTAGAATTTATCTTTTATCCTCTGCCATCTACTACTTGGTCACTTCTGGAGAATAGATGACATAGAGATGAAAAAGATTGGACATTAATAAAAAGAAGGTAATAAGAAGAAAATAAGAAGAAGATAATAATATAATTATATTTATAGTTGTCTTTCTTTTCCTTCATTATTTTCATGTCTCTCTCCTTTGCAGGCTACATCCTCATAAAGCCAATTAATAATAAACAATTTAAAAATGTCATAAAGAAAAGAGAAGGGAAGTGAATTAGAGATGATAGACCTTTCCCTTTACACTTTCATTACTTCCTTAAAATCATCCAGCATGAGAATGAAAAGGATATGAAAAGGAGATGTAAAGGGAAACAACATAAGATGATTCAAGCTTTCATTGCAATGGTAATATCTTTGTCTTTTTCTTTCTGCTAATAATCATTCTCTGTTACCTTTAATTACTTTCATATATTGGATCATCCCTCCCTATCATCTTTCTCTTTCTATCTTCTCGGTCTTCTTCGTTTCACCCTTCATTAATACCTGTCAATTGGTGAAACGAAGAAACAGATAGAAAGATAAAAAAAATACAATATGAACATAATAAAGAACGAGATATAAGAAATAGATTGCAAGGAATAACCAATCAATAGGAAAGAGATATCTCTCCATCAATAATCAACATAATATAATTCCTGGATTTCTTCTTTCCTATCTATTTCCTATTAATAATCCAGAAATCCAGACACCAAAGATGATTCTCAACATGAAAGACTACAAATATTTCAATTAAATTATATTTCTTACTTGTTTCATGATTTCTGGTTTATTATTGAGGATTATTGGTGGAATGGGAATTCCTAACACATTCCTATTCCCTTCATAAAGTCCGTGTATCATCACACTCTTTACCACAGACAACTTCATCTTGGACATATTCACTTCCAAGATGAAGATATAAATAGGTGAAAGAAAGGGATAGAAGAAATCCTAACACTTCTAACTCCCAAATGCAGGAATCTTTATCTTAGGAACAACATTAATATGAAGTAGATTGGAATTCTTGTATCCAAGATAAAAGACTTCTAGAAATAACAACTTTCGTTTACTTCTTTCTGAATCAAGATTCCTATTCCTAGCCTTTGACTAATAATAATTCACTTCTCTATACAAGACTTCACTTGGCGGCAGGCAAGCACATGCATTTGAAGGCACGCAGGTTGCCATAGGCAAGGTGCTGGCTAAAACGCATGTCAAGAGCACCTGCTGATATGGTCTTGCCCATACACTCTTACAGCTTGCCCGGGCCAGCCGACAAAACCATTGGCTGCTTGCAAAAACACGTTTTGCGCCCTGGCAACCAAACCCATTTTTTGAACGTGCGCCCAAAGCCAAGAGCTGTCCTTTCATTTGTGTGCGTCAAACCGTATGATACGAGATGAGGTGCAGAGCATCATGGATATCATGGCGCGGCCCAGCTGTTTCGCGCCCACGCCCTGTGCCCTACAACCCTGCACACACACACACAACAGAACGATCACAAGATGCACAATGATCTCTGCTTCACTGCAGCGTGCCTCGAATGGCGGGCAGCATGGTCGGCAACTGCGGCAGGGGAGGAGGAGGAGAAGCCTCCATGGCATTTATTGCATAAATACGGAGCTGCGCCCGTCGCCTTTCGCCGCTTTGCAAGCGGCTCCGCGCCACTGCGCCGTAGAGCCTTGCCAAAAGGTGGGCAATCAACCTTATCTGCCAGGAGTTGCCTGGCAATGGTCTGCTCAAATCCTGTCCTGTTCCTCTTTCTTGCCTTCTTCTCCCCCCCCCCCGCCACCCCCAGCCTTGGCCTCGCTCCAGTTCGTGGGCTGTTGCCGCGGCTGCTCTTGAAGCATAGGTGTGCTTTTTTGGATCCAAGCTGCTCCCATCTTTGAGCCCGCCTGCACAAAACGGCACGGCCTTGCTTCTACACGCTTTGCGCAAGCAAAAAGAAACATGACCCTCTCTCTGCCGAATGGCACATGACAGCTCGAGCCGCAATGTCATCCTACAGCTCTGGCCTGATCTTTTGTTGAGGAATCTCTGTTCCGAGCCAGGTAGGCGGCCACTTGTGAGCGCCCCTCGGCCCAAAGGCGTGGATCAAACCAAAACCGGCAGCAAGAGGTAACTCGGTTGAGGCTTGGATTTAGGGTCGTTGAGGATGGCTTGTGCCATGAGTCTAGCGCTGGTTTGGGGTCGGCCTAGGGTTGTTGCGGATGGTTTTCATGGATTCGTAGGGTTGGTTTGGACTGGGTCAAGGGGCCCCGGCCATAGGTCACCGACTGACTCAGGAAGAGTGGATAGGTTTAGTTGGGCCAGTACAAGCTCAGGAACGACTCAGGTCTGGGTGAATCGTGGAAGGGTGGGTGCAATGTAGGATGGGCAGGATTTAGTAGATTTATGGGTCAGTAGGTTTAGGTCTGGATTGGGATTGATCTAAGGTGGTTGGTGTTGATATAGGCTTGGTCTAAGGTCGGCTCAGGATTGGTAGAGCGTAGGGGTGGTTCGCAATCGGTTTGATTTAGCACATGCTCAGGTTGGACTCTGGGTTTGTTTGTGCATTGATGCGATTCAGTGTTAAACAAGCAGGGAGGGGACCAGGGCACCGGAGAGCCAAGTCTGAAAAGTTGTTTGTTGGTCCTCCCACATTGCGGTTGATCCCAAACAAAACGCCTTTGAGGTGCTCCCAAAGGCTTTGAAACCCACGATGAATCCTCAAGCAATGTTCTCAGCGCCTCGTCCCAGCTAGCATACTGCACCGGCTGCGAGCTCCTTGCAAGTGACGGGTGCTGGGATGCATTTCAGCCATGGCAGCCAAGTCTGCGCACGCACCCTGCCTTCTGATTCCGATCAGCGGACGCGCCACCTGCTCTACTGCCTCCTCCTCTGCAGGACCAAGCCCGCCTGCACGTGAGGGGCTGCTAAGTGCCCGTGGCATGCAAAACTTTGCTTGCATCTACCCTAGGCAGCGGTCTTGAAGGCAGTTCCACTCCAGCACTCCCGCAATTCAGCACAGCGCAGCGAAACAATGGCCACCCTTAGCCTCCAAGCTTAAAAGCGCTAGGCTCCGCGGGCTCAGCAGGCACGGCCCGCCGCAGCCGGCGCAGCCCGCGGCGGGTGCTAAGCTGCGCCTCGCATGTCGCAGGTTGTGACGTTTGCAACTTGTACCGTATCACGCTTCTTCGTTGATTCATTGATTCAATGATTCTTCCCCCATCTCTCTCTCTCTCTCTCTTTATTTCTCCCTGCACATGTGGGGAACGTCTCGTGGCCAAGATCAGAAGCACGCCGAAGCACGCCAAAGACTACTGTCGGCGCTCGTCTCTTTCAGCGGCAAGTGCCACACTCTGGCCTGATGCCTGCAGGTTCGCGGCATTGCCTGGAATTCCTGGAGACAAGGAATGGTTCACGTCCTGATATCAGCCGGCATTGCACGCCTTGTGGTATATGCCAGGCTGCTGCCCATAGCTCGGGGGCAGCTAAAGCAGCCCTGCTTGTTGAATTCAGCCGTCTGGAGCTTGTTGCTGGATTTCTTTCACTGGGCTTGCTTGCATGTCTCTGCCAAGAATCCATCCAAGAGAAGTGGCTGCAAAGGCAGAAATTCGTCTACAAACAGTTTCAGCGCAACGTGTCCAGCATTGCCATCTTGATAATCTTGATTGTACTTCTGAGGTTCTAGGCTTTGGCCCGTCTTCTGGAAGTTCAGTTGGCTCCTTAGATGCTCACGGTGGCTAGCCCTTCCAATTTGCGCTTTCCTGCCTGCCAGCCTAAGAGCTTCTCATCCGGCGCCACGGGGCATAGTACATCCACATCCTACGAGTCCAACCACTCAACGGCCCAAACGAAACCCAGAAGCAAACGCCGAAAGGTTGCTGGGGATGCGAAATTGGGACCCTGGGAAGAGGGCAGGCTATACGGAAGTGATCAGGGGCTCTCACGTCTGGGCACCACCATAAAGCAGCTTCGTGTCGATTTCAAAGCACCTGAAAAGGCCAAAGCAGACCCGAAACCAGTTCATCACAAAGTTGGGGCATGCGCTTCTGGTTGTTGTCATTGACCACGTGGGCCCAAAGCTGATCCAAACACTGCCTCGAGAAGGAGTGACGCACCATGTTTATCTCATCCCAAGTGGCCTGGTGGACATTTTCTGTTTTCCCTCTCTTTCTCTTTCTCTGTTTCTGTCTCTCTCTCTCTCTATCTATCTCTCTCTCTCTCTATCTCTCTGTCACTCTCTTTCTGCTCGTGCACTCTGCCGTGTAATAAATAAATTTGTGGCACCTGTTTCATGCCCCCACGAAATGCCAAGCACAGTGCTCATTGATGAACTCCGTGTCTGCCCATTCGTCGAGGAAATTCACAAGGAGTGACCGCCGCAGGCAATATTGTACCACATCCTTGGCCTCAAGCAGTCTTACGGTGCAGTCTTTCCTCTTGGTCCAGCTGCAGGGAAAAGCATTTGACTCTGATCTGGTGACTCTGATCTGGTGACTAACTCGCAGAGATTGGTCTCTTGTGTTCTCCTATGTGCAGGCCTGCCTCTTGCATGACCTCCACGTCGCCATCTGGGAGCTGCAGCAGCCTGCGGTGCACTTGCTGGGGCCCATCCTGCGGTTCCTGGCGTGTCCTGCCTGTTCACCTCCAGTGCAGACTTGAGAACAGGAACTGCCTGGCCACTTGGGCTGCACAAGACGACTTCTGGCTAGCCGGGTTCCTGAATGACACCGAAGTAGGAATTTTAATGAGGGGCCCTGTGGACATCATTTAGGTGGGGATTTATGTTCACCATTCATTTGGAACCGATTGGCAAAGGGTTCCCTATTAACATTCATAGCCACCTGCGCCTGGCGCCCTAAATCCCACCTGCGTAGGTCGCACAATGAGGGGCGCCGCGGTGGCCAAGCAGGTTTCTGGCCCCGGCACCTACAAAGCTGGCACCTTGGCACCTGTCGCTACTCGCTGCAGGTTGGCCTGGCGGGTGAAGTTCCTGAAAAACGCCGTCCTCCTCGGAGCCATGATGCTGTATGCCTGCTCTCCGAAGGCCCACGCCGTGATAAGCTTGCCGCCCTGGGTGCCAAATGCCACCCGGAGAGCTGAAAAGGATCCAGCCTAAAGCTAGGCGTATCTCTCTCTGCCGAACGCAAGGCAAAGCCTTAAAGCGCAGCCTCTGGGCGCCGCTACTGGTATCGCTTGCTGGCACCTGCTCCAACCTAGGGGCTCAGTGCCTGCCAACATGTCTCACGCCTATCTCACGCCTAACCCCTAGATCAAGTTGATCCAAAGAGCATATGGCGAAGCTGCTCACCCTCGCAAACAATGCCCGGCATCTTTATGAACAAGACCTTGAAGCCAAGAGTAAAACTCATGGCTGGGGACATCAGGCAACTGCCCGCCTTGCAAAGCACAGCTCGGGCCAAGCCGTCTGAGTAGGCCATGCGTGGTCCTGGTGCTTCAATGGCCTGCGAAGCTGTGCAATGATCATGATCACACGGCAACACACAGCAAACGCGTGTTGAAGACACAGAATACACAAAGCTGGCCTCCTTGAAATCATCAAGCAGCTTCTGCGTCTCAGCCTCAAGTGCCTGCGGACTCGAACGGTCAAGGCCACAGGCAAAACAACACCTCTCCTCGTCGGCCACGAAAGCGCTGACCAGCGTGTCTGGCACAGTCGGACAGTCAAAATATCTGCAAAGATCATTGATTTCCGGACGTGGCTCATCCCTTGCCTTCTGGAAAAACACACATTCTGTGGGGGGGGGGGGGGTTTTGGCCATCCAAGTTTCTGATGGGAACTCGCCGTTGCTTTTCCCAGGAGACCATGCCCCCAAACGGGTTGATGTGCATGATACACTTAAAGCTAAAAGCAGGGCAGCTGCACAGTCTGGCCTCGGAGCCGGGTATGGAGACACGTGCACCGTGACGCACTTGTGACCCACTGAGCGAGATGCGGAGCTCTCCACTGTTGCCTGATGGAAGAAAGCGTTGCCGCCAGTCTGAGAAGGTCCTCCTGGTCCCAGACCTGGCAGGTACTTTTGAAACCACTCCATTGTCGCTGTTTACAGGGGAATCAGAACCAGAATTGCTTAGTGCTGGATTTCGTCCAGCCACATGTCTCAATATGTCTCAGTCCTTGAGTGCTCTATGTGACTATGGGGCATGCCGCCTGGGCCAGGACGATGGCATGCAGTTGCGGCAGCTTCTTGGCCGCCTCTGCGGCCTCACCCTCGAACTGGGCTTCCCAGTGCTCCTCCGCCACAAGCTGCTGCCTGCATCCCGGAAACTCAGCTCCCCATCTCAATGCTTGCTAATATCTCATTGACCCTATACACGTCTGCACTCCTAAGTGCAATGTAGAAGACCCTTGCATCTACAGTAACACGCGTGGCCGCCAAGCCATCAAAACTGTTTGGACAAAACATGCAAGTAGATACATTCTACATATCACCCGTGACAAAATTGCCCATACATCAGCCGATTCTGCTTCCACACTGGTATCATGCCAGCGCAACGATACCTACGGATGGCCATGTGTTGGAGCATGCGCTGGAGCACGGGGAATCGACAAATGACGAGTGTCTTGCCAATGATTTCCAACAATTCTCTCAGCCAAGCTGCGACAGGCTCTGCAAGGACTTCAAACCTGGTCCTGGCGATTGACAAAACCGCCATGCCCTACGCCTTGCGCACGGCAAGCTGGAACCAGGGTCCAGGCCGAGCGGCACTTGTAGCAACGAGCGCATGCCTGACACTGGGGCCCGGCACAGCACTTTGTTCGCTCCGCCAGGCGTACAAGCAACATGTTTGCTCACATCACGTCGTGAGGTCCACGGCCTGCCGTCTCGCCCTCTTTCTTCAGCGCCTCGGACTCAATGAGTCATGAGTCGCGAAGGCAAAAAGGACGGTTCTGTCCGGTGCGAGGATGGGTCCTGTGCACCTGGCTGGCAAACTGATGCGCGGGAGGGGCTCGATGCCACACACGGCCTGAGAAGGCCATGGGCATGGTGCCGCCAATGCCGCATGTCTGCCGCCAGCACGTGAAAACATATACATATACTCATACATATACATACATATACATATATACACCTACATGCACACACGCACACACACACACATATATATATATATACACATATATGTGTAGAACTAGCAGCGCTTGGTTGTCTCTTGCGTGTGCAACAGTTGCTGGGCGCCGAGCTTTGTGCACCTGAGTCACGAAACTCGAGGCAAAATGTTCTGAGAACTCGTGACGTCCGCGCCTTCCAGTGGGAACGCTGGCATTCCTGCGTGCAGTACTTCCTTGGTCCAAGACTGCAGTTGCATGCCTCATGCAGTCTTCCCTCATGCAGTCCTCCCAGCGCAAGATCCAGCACACGGTGTGTCTTTTCAGAAACTTTCCCAGCCAGGCATTTTGGCGTCCCCGTGAAACTCACCAATGCCTGCGAATGTGCCAATTCAAGGCGCGCTGCAAAATGCTGCTGTGAAAAGCACGCGTCTATAGATATGTACATATGTATATATATATATATACATTCATTTATTTATTTGTTTATTTATTTAATTATTTATTTTGCTATTTATTCATTGATTTATATATTTGTTTTTTCCCGAACGCATGGCGAAGGGTTCTTCCGCTGGGTTCACTTGAGTTGTTCTCATGAGAGTCATTACAAGGTGTCATTGCAAGGAGTCATTGCAAAGAGTCATTGCAAGGAGTCATTGCAAGGAGTCATTGCAAGGAGTCATTGCAAGGAGTCATTGCAAGGAGTCATTGCAAGGAGTCATTGCAAGGAGTCATTGCAAGGAGTCATTGCAAGGAGTCATTGCAAGGAGTCATTGCAAGGAGTCATTGCAAGGAGTCATTGCAAGGAGTCATTGCAAGGAGTCATTGCAAGGAGTCATTGCAAGGAGTCATTGCAAGGAGTCCATTGCAAGGAGCCAAGTGCAAGTTGCAAGTGCAAGGAGCCAAGTGCAAGTTGCAAGTGCAAGGAGTCAAGTGCAAGTTGCAAGTGCATGGAGTCAAGTGCAAGTTGCAAGTGCAAGGAGTCAAGTGCAAGTTGCAAGTGCAAGGAGCCAAGTGCAATTGACTTGCGAGGAGTTAAAATCTCTTCTTAGGGCGGCGGGGTAGTGCCGACGACACTACACGAAAATCGACCCTCTGCGGGGATCGGCGTGGTCGAGGTGCAAAAACCCATGGTTTTTTGCGATTTCTAAAGTTCCCGCGCGACCCTCTGCGGGGATCGGCGTGGTCGAGGTGCAAAAACCCATGGTTTTTTGCGATTTCTAAAGTTCCCGCGCGACCCTCTGCGGGGATGGCGTGGTCGAGGTGCAAAAACCCATGGTTTTTTGCGATTTCTAACATGCTCGCGCAACCCTCTGCGGGCATCGGCATGGTCGAGGTGCAAAAACTCGAGATTTTTGGCGACTTTTGTTGTTCGAACTGGTCCTCGAAAGTTGTCTCGTGGTTCGCGCGCCTGATCCCGGAACCGGCGGGTCGCGGGTTCGATTCCTCCCTGGTCCGCGGGCGGGCGTCGCAAGATGCAACTTGCATTTTAAAGCAACTTGCGCAGAGCAACTTGCGCAGACCAACTTGGACCGACCAGTTTGCGCAGAGCGCCTTGCCTAGAGCAACTTGCGCAGAGCAACTTACGCAGAGCAACTTGCACAGCTTGCGCACAGCAACTTGCAGGGAGCGCAATTTGCACAACTTGCGCAGAGCAACTTGCACAGTGCAACTTGCGTAGAGCAACTTGCGCAGACCAACTTGCACCGACCAGTTTGCGCAGAGCACCTTGCCTGGCGCTGTCTCGCGCTTGCTTCACAAATGCTTCGTGGAGGGAAAAAGAACGCATCCTGCAGCGTTGGGCCGACCTCGCTTGCGATGTTATGCTTTCGGGCCAACCGTGGTCTAGTTTTATGGGTTAAGAGCTGATTGGCGCTGCAACAAACACGTCTTCGGAGGCCACGGAAGGGTTTCGGGGTGGGGTGGAGTGGGGGGATCAGGGGGGGGTTCTTGCTTGTTCTGTGCTTGACTTGAACAGATCTCATGCGCGATTCCCTGCCAGCAAGGCTCAAGCCTGGTGACATAGCGTTTGACCTAGCAACAAAAGGAGTGCTTTCACACTTGCTGTATTGTGGTATTGACACTATTGTTTCCAATGGAAACAAAACACTTGCATATTCCGGTCTTCTACCTCTTCAATATCTTGACACCCTTCACCGGAATAGATCCATATTCGGGACCTAAGAGGTTCATTATTCGGGCCTTATTTGCAAACTTGGGGGGGTATTGCGTTCGGTGCCATGTATATAATTGCCATTCAGCGTGGGCCCGAATGACATCACACTTGTGAGCCACGTGTGTTGTTGTCTCACCTATATCATGGTGCTTCGTCTTGGCCACCGACAATATCCGACAATGTCCACCAGAGTGCTGCCATATACATGTTTTGTTTACCGTCAATATGTACACATTGGATCAGATTCAGGACATGTTCAGTTCTTGCCAGTGATGAGTCGCAGCAGGGCTGGAACTGGCGTTTGGCCTGCGGTCAACTCTTAATCAGATTACACCGATATATATATATATATATGTGTGTGTGTACATGTTCTGACACATAAGCATCGATATCAATAAAAAAGGAGTATTTGCAGCGTGCCTGCTCAAACAGCGTGAGCCTACTTATCGGCCTGTTGCTGATGTTGCCATCCGCCTGCTCAAGAATGAAGGCTATTTTTCAGGCTACGGCAACACTCCAAAACCGCTCCTTGCAAGGAAGCTGCATGCAATTGGGATCAAGCACTTCCAAAGATTTTGCACTGTTCAGTCATTGGGTCATTGCTCAAGATCCAATCGTCTGCAGCTGATTCCCTTGTGGAACCTGTTCCTCTGCGTGGAGAAGTGATATTTGCGCACGTAAACCTACTTTCCTGCGCTTGGCTGCAAGCATGCTGCAACCAGACGTTGTTTGCCTGGGGCCCAGCGGTGCTGGAATGAAGAAAGCCTTTGTCACCATCGTGCTCGGTCCCCATCCGGAGGCCGTCAAAGCAAATGTCGCCCTTGACTTTGCTTGGCTCACGTGCGCTTGGCGCATCTGCTGCGGAGT